ATTATTTTATTTTATTTTTTTCTGAGACAGAATTTCGCTCTTGTTGCCCAGGCGCTCACTGCAACTTCCGCCTCCCAGGTTCAGGTGATTCTCCTGAGTCAGCCTCCTGAGTAGCTGGGATTACAGGTACGCACCACCACACCCAGCTAATTTTTTGCATTTTTAGTAGAGATGGGGTTTCTCCATGTTGGTCAGGCTGGTCTTGAACTCCCTCCCTCAGGTGATCTGCCTGCGTCAGCCTCCTGAAGTGCTGGGATTACAGGCGTGAGCTACTGCGCCTGGCCTGTTTTCAACCTCAGAGTCAAATATCATAAAGAGAATGACCTGCAGTTCATGCTAGTTCATTGCTCCAAGAATTTGGTAGCCTGAAACAATATGGCTATACATCTATACAATCTTCATAAAGCCCTGAGAGAATTTTTAGGTGAAAAGATGATGTTCGGGATATAGTCTTTTCTAGACCATAAAGAACCTACCCAACAGTTAGGTGGCAGAGTAAGGTTATGTGCACACGTAATAACACAAGGATTCACATTTGGCAAGTGACATAATGTTGGCACAATCCAAAGTACTTTAAGAAATTAGAGAAGGCTGGGCATAGTGGCTCGTTTCTATAACCCTAGCTTTTTGGAAGACCAAGACAGTAGGATCACTTGAGGCTAGAAGTTTGAGACCAGCTTGGGCAAAATGGTGAAATCCCATCTCCACACAAAATATAAAAATTAGCCAGGCCTGGTGGCACCTGCCTGTAATCCCAGCTACTTGGGAGACTGAGGTGGAAGGATCACTTGAGTCTGCAACAATGGAGGTTTGAATAAGCCGAGATCACACCACTGTAGTCCAGCCTGGGTGACAGAGTAAGATCCTGTGTCCAAAAAAAAAAAAAAAAAAAAAAATTAGAGGAAAAGATATTATTTATTATTTTTTTGAGATGAAGTTTCACTCTTGTTGCTCAGCCTGGAGTGCAATGGCATGACCCCGGCTCACTACAATCTCTGCCTCGCAAGTGATTTTCATGCCTCAGCCTCCCAAGTAGCTGGGATTATAGGCGTGCACCACCATGCCCAGCTGATTTTGTATTTTTAGTAAAGACGGGATTTCACCATGTTGGTCAGGTTGGTCTCGAACTCCCGACCTCGGGAGATCCACCCACCTTGGCCTACCAGAGTGCTGGGATTATAAGTGTTAGTCACCGCACCCAGCTGAGAAGATGTTATTTTTGACCAAAAAGACATTATGAAAGAGTTGGACCTTGGAGAATGAAGATGAGTTCTGGAAATTAGCTGGGACTGACTTTTTGGCTAGCATGCACATAACAGGTAAAAGGGTAATAAGGCAAAGAGAGGTTAGAATCTGATTGTGGAGAATTGTGAAAGCAAGACTAACATATATATGTTTTTATTGAAATATTTGTTAAACTGCTATTATGAAATTAGTCACAATCAGCATTTTTAAAATGAAACAGGAAATATCAGCATGTATTATTCTTTTTTGTGCTTTGAAGACAGGGACTTGCTCTATTGCCAAGGCTGCAGTGCAGTGGCACCATCATGGCTCGCTGCAGCCTCGACCTCCCCAGACTCAGGTGATCCTCCCACCTCAGCCTTCCAAGTAGCTGGGCTTATAGGCACACACAACTGTGCCAGGTGATTTTTGCATATTTTGTTTCACCATGTTGCCCAGGCTGGTCTCGAACTCCTGAGCTCAAGCAGCCTGCCCACCTTGGCCTCCCAAAGTACTGGGAGTTTGTATTCTGAGCATGAGCCACTACGCCCAGCCAGAATTCATTATTCTTTTTTTTGAAACAGAGTTTCACTCTGTCACCCAGGCTGGAGTGTAGTGGTGTGATCTCGGCTCACTGAAACCTCACCTCCCTGGATAGTCTTTTGAGGAGTTTGCATGTTTTTTGGTATATGTTTAAAAGAAGAAGAGAATTCATTTTTTACACATATCTGAAAAGAAAGTAGAAATGAGTTTTAACATAATATGAATAAACAATACAAATCCATTGTGCTAGAAACTTTTTGTTTTAAATAGATTTCTGGTATGAAATAGAAATCTCCAGTAAATAATTATATAAATAAGCATATATCTTAATTCTCAAATTTTTGTGTATATTTGAGAAAAGTCATAGTTAAGAACACCTCTTGGTTTTTAGTTACTAAAATTATTTCCTGGAGAATTTCTTTTTAAGTTCAAGAAGGAAATAAATACAATGCTAGAAATTTTTCTTATGCATCTTCTTTATATATATTTGTACTTTGAATATGTATAGTATAAAGTGTTTTAATAAGTCTAGTTATCTGTTACACTGGAATAACACAAATAATGCCACAGAAAGAACAATAATAATTTCATGATTACGTGCAATATTTTTATTTTAAAAATTAGTTTATGTTTTGAGTATTCCGAAGATGCATATATTAATACTTTATTGATCTGCTCATTTTTAAAGCAGTGCAAGAAAAGATAAGTCTCATCTCTTGATCAGAATCCTAGTTTTGAACCTATGAAAGAAATACATGCATTCATCCTGGGATTTTAATAGAGTTTTAAAATTACTTTTATATAATGTTTTATTAATACTTTCTCTCTTTTTTTGAGATAGAGTCTCACTCTGTTGCCAGGCTGGAGTGCAGTGGTGTGATCTAGGCTCACTGCAACCTCTGTTTCCCAGGTTCAAGTGATTCTCCTGCCTCAGCCTCCCGAGTAGCCAGGGCTATGGGCACACACCACCATGCCTGGCTAATTTTTATATTTTTAGTAGATATGGGGTTTCATCATGTTGGCCAGGGTGGTCTCAATCTCCTGACCTCATGATCTGCCCACCTCAGCCTCCCAAAGCACTGGGATTACAGGTGTGACACACCATCCCCAGCCTATTATTACTTTTCTATGGGATAACAATAGATTGTTTAGTAGCTGTGCTGCACCTGCAATGTTATGGCCCTAGCTGGTTAGTCTGCAGAACCCAGACAATAATATTGTGGAGGCTCCCTGGCCACAAAACAGTGGGTCCTGACAGCAGTGCATCCTAACTTTAGGTCTGTACCTGTGCCTGTGGTGCAGGGGCTCTGAGACTGTTTGTTCAAGGACTCACAAATGCTCTCCCCACATCACAAGAAATATTAAAGATTATGATCCCAGTGATATAGTCTTTATCTGGCAAATAAATGAACATATTTAGGTGAATGAAACTGTCTGTCCTTCACCAATACACATACCACTAATAGTTTTTCATTTTAAAAGCTGCTTTCTCCTTCTAGGTATTTTTAAAAATGCTCCCCTCTCTTTACTCATCTACAAAATGGAAATAATGATGTCTTAACATGTGTGCATAAGTTTCTGAACATAGCACCTAGAGCCCTGGAGTTGCTCAAAGGTGGTCTCCTTCTTCCTTGCTCTCCTCTGCTGACTGATCACCATACCTGCTCCCAAAATAAATATATAAAGTTTCGAAGAATTTTAAAGAATGCTTTTGAGGGCTGGGCGCGGTGGCTCAAGCCTGTAATCCCAGCACTTTGGGAGGCCGAGGCGGGTGGATCACGAGGTCAAGAGATCGAGACCATCCTGGTCAACATGGTGAAACCCCGTCTCTACTAAAAATACAAAAAATTAGCTGGGCGTGGTGGCGCGTGCCTGTAATCCCAGCTACTCAGGAGGCTGAGGCAGGAGAATTGCCTG